TCACAAATATGTTCACAATTAAAAATGAGTATAGTCTACGATTTATGCTTAATTTTTAATAATGTATTAAGATTATACATACGGCCACCGGTAAGTTGATCACGGTCACTTTATCGTCAATTGATCCGGACGTTTTATCTGGGTTAAACTCCCAACTGCCCCGGTTATAGTACTGGACAGTCTTGCCATCCGGTGCCCACTTTACCTCCTCTTTCCATATTCTCATACTTTTTTAATTGAAATATAATTAATGCATAAGATTTTACTGATATTTCAAATACATATCAGTAATAATATTTAGTTAAATGTTTTAGATTTAGGTAAACTATATAAAATAATTTACACTATTAAACTGTGTAATATTTATTTATAGGAATGCTGTATAACAAAATTTTTAATAATGAACTGGGTATACAGATTTAAAACATTTAATTAAAAAACTACTAGAGTATTATTAGAATTAAAATTTGTATCATTAATACAGTACTTTAAAAATTAATTATACAAGTTAACTCTACTCACTCGTAAGCATAAGGACCTCGCTCAGATAGTTTCGCTTTGGCACCCCTGGCAAACTCTTGGGGATTATCTATATTCCAGATGTAAAACAGGTTATCTATGGGCACCGGTACTCGCTCCCAGTTTTGGGTCAAAAATGAGCCCGATTTTAGCTGCATAATTGCCCCTGCTAACCCGCCCACCAACATCGGGAAAAGTACCATGGTAGCACCGCCTACACCCGTTGAAATAGCACCGTATTTGGCGTAACGTCTAACCCTTTTACGCATAATAACCGACTCGTATGCCGCCGTGTTCATTACAACCATACTTGCACCTTGGTACTCTAATTATTATTAGTAACTTATAGTATACTATACTAGTATTTAGTTGCACACAAATATAAGTAGTGACACTTTTGCCGTACTATTTTAAATCACAAGTAGTAGTGTGCATAGTTAAAGTAAGTTTTTGACAAACATGTAGTATGATGTTGAACATTTATATAAAACAAATTAGACATTGAATTTATGTGGGCTATCAACGATTTCCTAATAATACTACAAAAAACATGCATTTATTTTAATGGATTATTTTGAAAAAAGCATATATTCATAGAAATATTTTTGCATTTAGTTATTATTATTATTATTGCATTTCTTATGTGTACTTTTGTATGAATTAATGCTAGAATTTCAGGGTCAATAATGTTAATTATGGTGAAAATCAATATGTAAATCAGCATTATTACTAGTAATGCTCGCGTTTTCAAGTACTGTTGACATTGGGTATTGATTTTGGCTTGTTTCAAAGTCATTACTACAATCATTTATGAAAAACAAATGCCAAATTGGGTATTATCATTTTTATATATATGATGATTAGCGTAATTAATGATAATAAATATTATAAACTCAAATAATCTGATGTGCTTTTCATACATATTTCTTAAGAAGTCGTTAATTTGTGTTTCATTGGATTCATGCAATAGTCTAATAACATATCTAAATGTATTTGTAATGTGAATATATATTTTACATGTTTTTATTAGTACTATTTTTTTGTAACGAAATGTTAATTTAAATGTAACATTTTATATATGTAATTAATAAACGTATTGAACTAATAAAATCAATTAGACTTTATTTTTATTAACAAACTATATCAACACACTATTTGGTTATATATTTATAGTACTCCATAAATAATTTAGTCTAATTGCTTTACAATAAATTTAATTTATTTAAAAAATTTAAAGCTCTAAAAATTTGGTATATACAATAAATAATTTAATATTAACATTATTTCAATATCTAAGGAGAATATTGCAAGCTAAAATATTGTTACATAGAAATATCATACAAATATACCAGTAAATAAAATTCAATATTATTAAACATAATTTAGTAATACTGTAATGATGCCTAAATAATACACTAATCAATCGGTTATACATTATGGAGAATCGGTTAAACATTTAATACATATTTGTTTAAAATTACTTTAAAAATAGTTTATTATCAATCAATTTTGCTATTAATTATTAATAAATAATGATTTTAATTTATATAATACATAGAAAAAGATTATTGACATGTTTGTATAAATTTTACAATTTAACAATGTTTTCAAACTAATGATTATTACCGTAATTAAATTCGATAATAATTCATGTTGTTACAAATTAATTTTTTTTAATCGATTTATTACTGTAAATACAAGTATTACTGTATTACCGTACTGTATATAAGCTTAATTAATTACACTAGCTTAATAGAGATTAATTTATGGCAATTATTAATAAAACTATCAATAGCTGTTTGATTGGTGTTTGTATTGGCACTGCATTCAAAGTATTGTATTTGTGGTAATTTTGACAATGAATTCAGTATAACATCCGTTACCATATAGCCATCAATAGATAAATATTTAAGTTTCCGAAAGTTTTGCTCAATATTTAGCACAAAATCTTGGCTACAAATAGTGATTTCATACAAATTCAGTGTTAAATGAGTTAACCTTTTGCAGCAATTCAGGGATTCACTCATTAATACAAACTTTTCGCTTTCATTAATACAATATTTAAATCTCATTTCCAATCGCTTTAAGTGTTGAAAGTTTTCATTAATTGTTTGCAATATTTGCGCAAATAATTCATCAGATTTAGTGTTGACATCGAGTGACAGTCTCTTGAGTTTCGCGCAATTAATACCAATTTGTTTCAATTGAGTACTTCTTATATCGTGTAATGAATGGTCTAAACAAGTGATCTGTAAATCAATCAATTGTGGCATTTGTGATAAACCAGTCATTAGTATATCGATGCACTTCTCGTTACATCTCCTATCGATCTCCACATCAATTGATTTCATCTGATTTTTATAGTTTTCCACAAATACTGCAAAACTATTCGTGTCTTCATTCGTAAACTTAAACCCAAAAGTTTGTAACTTTGGAAACAAAACCCCATTTCTATCGCCACTTAATACATACGATAAACACATTTTCTCGCTATAATCGTCGGTATAATAGTATGGGTTATAGTAATAGCCCTTAAATTGTGTTAAATTGTCGCAACACTTGATGTTATTAACGATCGGCTTATCCCTGGCGTTGTCTTTATGAATAGCCGTCCATTCAATTGATTTCAAATGTTTGGCAAACTTTGCGAAAAATCTGTCGTATGTTTGAAATCGTATAGCGTTTGCAAAGTTGAAGCAAATGTCTGTCAAGTGATGGCAATGTCTGGCGATTGAGTCCAACATTGGGTTCGAGTTGTTTATCACATAATAGGGACTAATGATCGCTATTTTGGTGATGTTTTGGCACTTCTTGAGGATCGTTGCGAAGGACTTCTCGATTGCTCGCAATTTAACGAAGTCTTCGGTGACTATCAGCTCATGTTGTGTCTTATATACGACTCTCTGCCACTGTTTGGACACACATTCACATCGGAACCGGTCAGAGAGTGATAGGAAAGACAATAAGTGTTGACACAAATCATCGCCGAAGCGGTCGATACTGTCTTTCGGATAGACTTTCTGTGCATTCATTGTATGACTACTTCTTGCGGCCATTCCTCTCACCACTTATGAGACAATAGTTTGCTATCAAATGAAACACAAAAATAATAAACAATTAAATCGCAAATCAATGTAAAACCAAACACTCAATCACTTACTGTCACTAATATCTGCGGGCCTACCGGTGCTGTCAGGTGTATCCACTGAGGGAATGGTGCGACTGTATGTCCGCACACTATATACAGGCACTCAAAAGCATTGAAAAACACAATTAAACAGCAATTAAATGGCAAACAAATTGATTGCAAACTCAATGCAAATGCAATATGCGTTTGACAGCCAGTGTGTCACGTGGTATAGCAATGTAGGTGTAGTGCTATATAACAACGTTACACTATCTAAAAAGGGGAGGGGGAAGGCTAAATAGCATGTATTGTTGGGGTTATGCGTAAATAAATCATTGCTACGGATAGGGGCACAATAACTACTAACATAAACGTAACGTTATATACGAACAAAACATTAAACGGCAATGTTTTTTAGTATTTTTGTTGTTTATCTCACAAAACATATGATTTGCAAAACACCACATATTTTGCACTCAAATAAGTCATTCATTTGATCCATAGTTTCGTTTGATTAGCATTTAGTGGTCACTCGTATGTCAGTACTGGTCATCAGGCAACTGATCCGCCGCTCAAGACATCCACTCAACGCGTACGCCAACCGTAAGGCCATTGTCTGTATGATTGCCAACCAATTGATTGTATTTATAACTAACGATCACCGCATCTGATCCCATAAGACACATACACCGCGTGTGCGCCTATCAATGAACACCAACACCACCGCCGATGACAACAGCGGTCGCACCGGTAGGGGAGAGGCCGACGGCGCCGAACAGTTGACAGGAGGTACGGGCGCCGGTATCGCAGCGGTTCAGGTGGGAACTGGCGGTCAGCAACCGGTGCCCAAACAGTGGCGCCCGAACCCGGAGCTCATGTCGCTGTTGACGGATATGGGTATCAGTGGTGTGGCCGCCAAGAAGGCGCTGTACTATACGGACAACCAGTCCATCGAGTTGGCCA